AAATATATTTATTTCATTCATTTTCTCGCCCCCGTGACGATATTTACCTGGAGGCCTGGGTTGCGAACCTCGGCAGAACAACTGCCTCGTACAACTCTTTCATCATGCACTCAGCATGGGGTAAATCAGGTAAACACCACCCTATAGAGCTCGGACCCGGACATGGGTTTCGAAAATAATTGTTTTCTCTCACTCGAATAAATGTTACTATCTATTCCTCTCCAGTGCAAACTACGCTAACTTTTTAATTATTTTTACCCTCCCCCCTCTTTCAAATTTGTGCCTTCATACACTCGGGCGTTGTTGTAGTCCTGACGGTGTGTCGCCGTTATGCTATTCGCATTGACGACGATAATTGGCACGTCAGCTTTTTGCTGACTATTTTTTTGCTCTTTGTCGGAACTTAATTTTTTTTACTTTACGTTTTTTGGTTCATGTCGGCCAACAGCTGTGCAGCTGTTGCTATACGCGTTTCTCCTCACCTGAAGCATTTCAAAAGTGTTTAAGGTCACGACTTCTTCCGTCCTCTTTTCCCGCTCCCTGTATTTCTAATCTGAGCTACGTGACGTGCTTTATCGCGAAGTTGAAGTGCTTGTCGCCTCGAGCATTGAAATATAAAAAGAGAAAAACCGCTCCGCGTCGCGGAACAATACCTCGCACACACATGTCCTTCACTCGCTGAACACTCGCGCAACGATAACCGTCGCATTACTCCCTCAACTCTTAACTTTGTTGCAACTTCCTATCTGAAGCACCGACAAGGGCCAGACGGACAATTTATTTTATTTCATTTTCATCATTGCTTGACGGAAGCATTTATGCAGAGGCGACCCTGACAGCTTTGCCCGTGTTAAATCCGCCAGCAATATCAGCTTTCAAACCGTACACATCTCTTTGTTGTTGTTTTTTTTTTGCGTGCGATTAAAAATGAGCAGCATGGGATCATTGTGTCTGGTTTCCAATAGCCCGTGTGTTGAAACTCGAGAAGGTTGCCTAAACATGCCACAGCTTGGTCATGCATTTATTTGGTGCGGCGCACTCAAGAACAGCGCAAGCTGTGCTTGAGCTGTGTAATATTGTATATTATTTTATAATATTTCTCAGGGACATGTTCATACATGGAATCGGTATGATGCAACATGATCCGGGCTCTTCACCTAGACCACTGGGTTGGGTTGGGGAAAATGCCACGTTACGGGCTTTACCCAATCTTCTAGCCACTTTGCATTGCAAATGCGAAAACAAGTTTCTTGAGGCACTGACGCACGCAGAACACTCACATACACACTTACGCAGGCGCCGAGCATGTATGTGTTTTCATAAGTTTATATTGTGTCTCCTCAGTATACTGTCGAAGAGGAAGGCAACAAATGAATTCTTTGTATAGTTTTATTCTCGAAAATTTTTGCAACCTTTGCCTGGCAAATACTCGTTTAGATAAATGCATACACGGTACGGGGTATGCGCTTCACTCCGAGATATCGTACATGTTGAATGCAGCTTATAACTTGCCAGCCATAGATAGTCGCGGCTGATAAGCGAGAAATGCGGAGGACGGTGCGTCGAACGCAAAGAAAAAAAAGTAAAAGGTAATATGAAGAGCTCTGTTTTCGACTGCAGCCTGCGCCCGAATTCATCGCAATGATTTCGATTGATTTGATATGTGGGGTTTACCGTCCCAAAACCGCTATATGATCATGAGAGATGCCGTAGTGGAGGGCTCCGGAAATTTCGACCACCTGGGGTTCTTTAACGTGCACCCAAATCTGAGCACGCGGGCCTACAACATTTCCGCCTCCATCGGAAATGCAGCCGCCGCAGCCGGGATTCGTACCCGCGCCCTGCGGGTCAGCAGCCGAGTACCTTAGCCACTAGACCACCGCGGCGGGGTGACGCAATGATTTCCAGTAGTCTGCTTTCACTTTCACTCTCCTATCTGCATAGTAATGGTCATTTTATCGCGTGTCACTAACAACATGCAGTAGCCCGCGGTCGCGAGATCCAATGCTATCTTTGGCTGCCGCATTTTTGGTGGAGGCGAAAATGTTTGAGGCCCGTGCATACCTTGATTTATGTGCCCGTTAAAAAAAAACAGATAGTCGACATTTCCGCATCCCGCAACTACAGAGCCTCTCATAATCATACCGTTGTTTTGGGACGTTAAACAATAATTATATCATACGTTCCGTAACCCAGTGTGCAACACAATAACATGTTTTCGTTTCGTGGAATTGTCCGCACTGAGTCGCTCATGCCATAAATCGGCAAAATGAACTGAGGTCACTCAGACTCATTCAACAAATGCGTTTTTCGCTATAGGGCTCACTCGAACTCAGAGTGGACAAAATTTTTTCTGAAGTGGACTCACTTTGATTCAACCTCACAAATATTTTCTTCAACCCGACTCACTCGGAATCAGACTGACCAAACGTTTCCTATAGCGTACTCACCCGGACTAAGACTCCCCGAAATATAACTCAGCTGGACCTGAGCTCCTCGCTGGCTGGACACACTCGGACAAAGACTCACAGCTCAATCTTAGGTTGGCTGAGAAGGAAAGATGCCCACTTACAACTGCAGTTTTATTAGAAAAAAAAATCATTTGAACGAGAACACCAAGACACGCACGCGCAAACCAACTATCACCAAAAAAAAAAAAAAAAAGCCACCCTCCTCAGAAACTAACCCCACCCAATTGAATAGTATTTATCTTCAACTGCTTAAAAAGCACGCTTCTTTATCACTTTATCACTTTATCAGGTTGCTTGAAACCAATGTATTGAATATATATATTGTTTAAGCTTTGCACTGTCACGGACTGCGGAGGGACAAGGGCCTTTGTCAGGCTGTTCGCCTTTAGCCCTTTGCCCCTGCAGTGAGCTCTGTATCCGGCTTACTGTAAATAAAAATACTACTACTACTACTACTACTTAGCGCAACCGAGGGAACGTGGACACACGTGCTTGCGTTCGCCCAAATCTGCCTTGCTTCCGTGATTTCCCTGGCAAGTATGATTTTTGATTGGCTCAGAATACTGATGTTGCCAAACTGCAGATTGCCCCGCCGCGGTGGTCTAGTGGCTAAGGTACTCGGCTGCTGACCTGCAGGTCGCGGGTTCGAATCCCGGCTGCGGCGGCTGCATTTCCGATGGAGGCGGAAATGTTGTAGGCCCGTGTGTTCAGATTTGGGTGCACGTTAAAGAACCCCAGGTGGTCGAAATTTCCGGAGCCCTCCACTACGGCGTCTCTCATAATCATGTGGTGGTTTTGGGACGTTAAACCCCACATATCAATCAATCAATCAAACTGCAGATTGCGCCCACAATCCTCGCAGTGCAGAGACAGGTGCGTATTGCCTGCGAGAACCTTCACGGACGATGCATGTTCTCTGAGTCGATCGTTTAAACTTAGGCCCGTCTGGCCGATGTACACTTTTCTTCAGCTCAGTGGTATTTTACACACCTCAGAGGAACACGGTACAAACTGCGTGGCATGCTTTTTTATACGTGTGTCTGCAAGCGTTTTTATCCACCTTTTCATTTCCACTTATCGTGGGGCACAGTTTGGTCAGTTTGCGATAAGCTGTGAGCACAACGTCAACGTTGTGCTTTTTCCCAATCTTCATCAGACTATACGACACCGTAATGAACATAGGGCATGGCTACAACCATTCTTTGTTTGCTTTTTTCCTGCGTGTTGGTAACACTTGACATCTTTAACTCATTTAACAGTGTGCCTCCTACTGCCACAATGGCACAATGGCACAATGGTGGAATGCTGGCCCAGTTGTGGCACCAACTGGCCCAGCATTCCACCATTTTGAACAGAGCGAGTAAACTCATGAATGAGTCAACTCACGAGTGAGTTAGCCTCAAGAGTCTTTATAACTATCCATATCAAGTTCAACGGTAACGCAATACAGGACAAAAAAAAAGAAACAAGATATGCGAATAATTATTAATGGAATAAGGAATAAAGCGCCACCGAGACGAACACGGAAGTTTTCGACTCATTGGCGCCTTATTGCTTCCTTTAAACATGCACCAACTAGCCCTACAAAAAGTTCTACGTGCAAATAATTGTACCCATGGACTCGTCAATATGCAACTGGACCGACAATTGCTCGTTTATGCTTTATTTTTTTAAAAGCTCAAATTTCGATCTTTTTTACATACAACCATGTCCCGGTCTGTTTAGTTATAAAGATTTCAGGTCTTGGTCCTCTTAATGAGCTTATTCAACACAATCAACCAGGACCTTAAAAGCTGATGCGGTGATGTCTGCTCTATAACATTACTATAAGTCAGCTCTATCACGTTGTTGTGTTGGACCTGTCCAGTGATTCTTTAATTGCAAATGTTACGGACTGGCTGTCCTTGTACGACAATGGTGACCCAAGGCCCCTGATGTGGCGTTCATAGAACTGTTCACTTCGCGTAATTATTTCGAAAAAACCGGGGACCAAAGGTTGTTGTGAAGCATCAGTGTTTTCGTGTGTTCCCTTTCGGCGTGCCGGTCGTGTACTTGCCCTATGAGTCCCATAATTGTGCAGCACGTTAACTATACCCTTTGGACTCGACCAAAGGGCTGCTACTATAATACTTTGACCCCCCCCCCCTTGCGCACGCCTGTGGTTGCACACATTATATAGGATACGGCACCATCTGGTGGTTAGTGTGGCAGTTCTACTGCATTATATGTCAATGTTCTTTGTCTAGTGCTGTCCGCCGCGGTAGTGTAGCGGTTAAGATGATCGACTGTTGACCCGAAGGTCACAATATCAAACGTGGCAGCGGCGGTGTCATTCCTATACGAAGGTCTGCTGTTCGGTGCCACAGCACGTTAAAGAAGACCAGATGGTCAAAATTTCCAGAGTCCTCCAATACGGCGCTCCTCATAACGATGGTTTCGGCACGTAAAATACCAGGTATTAGTAGTATCAAGCACTCTGGTGGTGGTTTCTTCAGTTACCAACAAATCTTTTTTCTCTACTCTCTCAAGGTGCGAGCAGCTGGGACGGTCTCGCATAGCGTCCCGCATCCGGCAGCCGCTGCCCAGGCTGTACGCACCGTACACGGACAACAGGGAGAACCTCCAGTCCAGGAGCTACCGCAACTTGGACCTGATCGTCGGCGACGACTACTCGAGGCCGTACACGGACTCCGAGCACGCGCCCACCGTGCGTCCGAGACCTGTCGACCAAGACGACCTCGCGCACTTCGTCGGCGGTCGAAGCCTCGCCCTCGAAGACGACGCCCCAGACGCAGCAGAGTTCGACGGTGTCACCAGCGCCGTCCCACGTGCAGAGACTGAATAGCACAGCGACGGGGAGTACTACTCAGGTCCACATTACGCAGTCGAAGAGGAGCGTAGCGCATGGGCCGTGTAGGTACAACAAGTGTAAATGCAAGAAGAACTGTGTACTATTCTTTGTCTTCTGCCAAGCGTGCCTTCGAGTGAAAGTGCCGGTCGAGTTTGGTGCTTACGAAACGGGTCAGCTGGCAACGTCCGTGGCAACCACTGTGGCCTCCGAGATCGCGCGGAAGCCACGCCAGAACCAGCGAACTGTGCTGGCTTAGCCACACCGGAGACCTGCAGTGCCACCAACCGTATAGTTGGCCGAAATGGGTATGGACATGTCAGGACCTTTTGCATTGTTGATGATCGGCGTTTGTTGAGGGCCGTGCTTGAATGAGTGCTCCGACGACTGTGCGAGGGGACGCGTGGACATTGATTCTATCTTCTGAAAGACCGCAGTAATGGCTCAGTCAGCCATCGGTGCCTCGCAGCTCACTGTTCCGCAAGTGCACCGCACCGTTTATGGCTCCCCGTGCACGCATGCGAAAGTGTGTGGTTGCCTAAGTGCTGTTGAGTGAATAAAGAACTCGCACGTTTCGTGACTGAAGGAATGAAACGGTCTCGTTCCGTGGCACTAGTGAACACATGCTTGGCTAGCTGTTGTAGAGAGCAAAGACGCAGCTGCAACATGTGACAGATTTTTAGTAACAAATTAAATTTCCTCGCTTAGAAAAGTGGCAGGTCGTAAATGTGATATCGCAGGCGTGTACTTATATCGCTTCCACGCGCAGAAAGTGTAATTAAAAAGATCATTATTTAAGATCAATGTACCGATTGCAGTGTGCATCTTTGCAATGCTTGTGTTTTCAATTTACAGCTCCACCAATAAAAGGCTGGTTGGCAGTGCATGGATTCTCAAGCGTCAAAGTGGTAGAGGATCACCCTGTCCCTAAGATCCTTGTATAACGGAGGCTTTAGAGTGATACATAACCTTTAGGTTATGCATATTTCCTAACGTGATGTCCAAAAGTACGCATGCAACTGCTAGTGTATGCCCAACATAAATGTATTAAAAACCAGCCTACTGATGAGTGGTACTCAATGACTTTAGAAACTGTTTCTATGAAATAACAGCTAGTGCTTGAACTAATATGCACGCAGTTACGTAAATAAAGGGTCTGTCAATGTGTGTTCCAAACTATCATCCACCCAATTGCTGAAGGGAGCAGCTAATGTTGACACTTGCCACAAAACTGGCCAGGTGGGAAATGAACGTCATTCATTCGAGAAAACGATGAGCATTATTAACTCCGTCTACCATGCTCACCGCTCATGTAGACCTACGCTCTACGCAAAAATTGATAATACAGCTGTCCTTTCATCATTTTTTCGCATTCCTCTTTGTGTGCTTGTAATCTTTTCTAAATTCTATATTTCATTGAACTTCTGCATAACTTGTGGCAGTCTCCTTCTGGCGAATAACTAGGACGAATGTGAAACGCTACGAATCAGTCTGACCAATAACATGACCCGATCTCTCCAGCTTCAAACGTTGTATGATTCAATCTCTTAAGGCTCAATCACACCTGCGACTATAGCAACGGTCACGTGAACATTCGTGATTTGTGGCCAAAAAGCGTCTCAAGGAAACCAGTGTTCACACCTTCCTGAGATATATAGGAGGTATTTACTGAGCTCCTCCCATCGGGCGGCACCAGCGAGTATACGCCCTCATAGCCGTGGTCTTTATCCGGCATGTGAAAGTGTGATGCCACTACGCAACTTTTAAAGACGATAGTCTTTCTTGGGGACCTTCGATGCGAAAGTTTTGATCTGCCTGCCTGCCTGCCTGCCTGCCTGCCTGCCTGCCTGCCTGCCTGCCTGCCTGCCTGCCTGTCTGTCTGTCTGTCTGTCTGTCTGTCTGTCTGTCTGTCTGTCTGTCTGTCTGTCTGTCTGTCTGTCTGTCTACTCTTAACGGCACTGGTTACTTGAGACGGTCGACCCCATCCGCAGCGCCCACCAATGTTGCTCAAGGTTTAGCGTTCATACTTGTGCAATTGTCAATCAATAAGCATTTATTGCGCAAGTTTGCGGCACCGTAACAACAGGTATCTATTCTGCATGTGCATCGTTTACTAGAAAATGCATACATAAGTAATTTTAAGGATCGTAGCGCTTATCGCGCTGCGCTAACCATGTAAAGCTTGCACGAAAAGGTGAGTGTTTCCAACGCTTTGCTAAGACGCCATGGTGGTGGCACCTACCCGTCGCCTTGCGTTCCTCACCTTATCCCCTCTGAGGCGGGCGCGCACACCCGTCTCAAAGCCACGCGCTTCGTTTTCCAAGAAGACTGCCAGGTGGCGCTCATGTCTTACGTGTGACGTGACTTGATGCGCTCGTTCGCCTCCGCTGCACGCTCGAGGCACTCTAACGCAGCGCCTCCAAAATACCATTCACCAATTTTCTTGCGCAGCACATCAAATTAATTGTTCACTCTCTCCACACGCAAGACCATTGTCTTTCGACGACATTTGCAGATTACATGCAGATACGGGGTCAATTTTTTACAAAAAGTATCAATAGAAAACCTGCTGCCGAGAACTTTGCTTGCATACTCCAACGATGACGTCAACGCGTTTGACCTCCACGACTGCCACACTAGCGCCCCATGCTGATGACGTCGCGTGAATTCATCCTATACCCGTTCCCACACAGAATTCACGTTCAGGCCCATTTTCATGACACCATAAAATAAGCTGACGTTCTGTTGCTGCCCATCTGACTGGTTCAGAGGTTTGCGACTGCAATAGCGCGACTTCAAAAAAAAAAAAAAAAAGGTCCAGCAGCAGGTGACAGAGCCAAAGAAGTCGCGCTGCGATGAGAGCGTCCATTTGCCACCGTTTGCGACCAGTCGCATTCGCATTGCAACAAATTGGTCACGTGACCGGTGTTATAGTTGCGACTATGAATGAGCCTTTACAAGCGTTTCCGCCAACCACGTTCACACTTTCTATGCCCATGCACGTGGATATATAGTTCAATGAAGAACTGAGGGCTTACCTATACTCTTACCTATACCCAGTAACAATGCCAGAATTACCCGCTCGTTTCCAGCGGCTCTCCGTCGCTCCTTTCTAGTTCCTCTCCTTCTTCTGCTTCTTGTTGTCTGTTGCTACCTCGTTCGCCCGTTTGTCTCGTTTTTTTTTTTTGATCGTTTTGGAGGGTCTTCAAACGGTGAGGGTGACCCTCTGCTACGGGAACTTGTACCATTTCACTTGGATCCTCCGAAGACGGCTGGTCCACCAGCCGAAACTGTTAGGATTAAATAAATATTTTATTGTTTTGTTTCCTATACTGCACTATTCTCGAAGTTTATAACTTTTATTACGGTAGCCGGAAGAAACTCTGATCATCTATTTCATATATATATATATATATATATATATATCGTGGCTCATGTTCCTTATACTGGAATTTTCTCTGGAAAGCGGCCAAGAGCGTAGTAATACTATTTCGGAATCGTGAAGGGGGTAATTCACCGCTATGAGTGTGCACGCTTGTGTTTGCTTATAACACATACACTATGTAAAAAAAAGGTAGTACTATTTACTAACTTTGAGGTAATACATTCACAACCTAAGTAGTAACTTCGGGTAGTAGTCCACAGTAATTTACTACCTCTGCTTGGGCGTGCGAGGAAAACGCTCCTTTTGCACGAAATATTTCACGGTGTCATTTTTATCGACGTGGCCTTATCAAGGGTGAGGCCCACGCAACGGCCTTATGCTCTCCCATATAGAGTATCGAGTACTCTAAATCGTTAACCACTTTTTTCTAAACACACACGTCTGGTTGTTTCTGAAGTAGTAAATGTTTGAGTTCCACCACCTGCGGTTACTACTTCGGTAGTGAATCTTGTGACAGCGCTTTACTACTTCAAAAGTTAGTAAGTAGCACTACCTTTTTTTTTAAGAGTGTAAACTTAAAATGGGTCGCTGAAGACATCGAGGGCGACTCAATACGTCACAGACTTCTCATGTGCCTTATATAGTACCGCACTACGGCATGAAGAACTTTTTTCTCAGTCAATAAAAATTTCGAATGTGAGTCCCGTGGAACCAACACCCAAACAGTACACAAGCTCAGGACTAAGACTGAGAATGCCATACGACTCGTACGTAGAGTAGCCAACAGGCACCATGGCCTCAAAGAAGACAACCTGCTGCGTCTCGTACACGCGTTTGTTTTGTGCCATTTCACCTACGTTGCTGCTGTACACAAATGGGTATACGTGCTGAGCGCGATCAACTCAATGCGCTTATTCGCAAGGTGGTCAAACGAGCCCTTGGCCTCCCTATCACCACTCCAACGTACAAACTCCTCGAGCTTGGCGTACATAACACGCTAGAAGAGATCGCCGAAGCTCAGGAGCGCGTGCAATTGACCCGACTCACCACCACCAAGGCGGGCCGCCATTATCTGCGCGAGCTCGGCTTCTTCTCCTCGAGGGCCAGGGGCCCCCCCAGAGTTGACTCTAATTCCCCATGAAATCCGCGACCTTATCACGATCGCTCCCATTCCACGAAATGTACACCCCGAATACAACAGAGGCAGGCACCTTGCGCGGGCGACCACCATTCTCAGGCGCATACACATGGAAGCGGACAACGTCTCGTTCGTGGACGCCGCTGCCTATCGCAACAACCGAGCCTTCGCCGCGGTCGCGGAATCATCCGCGTAGCAGACTCTAACTCTGCCACAGTCCTCACCCGAAACCCCGAAGTAGCGGAGCAAGTAGCTATAGCTATAGCTATGCTCGACAGCAAACAGGAATTCATCTACAGCGACTCCAGGCCGGCCATCAAAGCCTTCGAACGCGGAGTCATATCCGACCAAGCGCTACGTATCCTGCGCAAATCAGACCCGAGAGCCCTGAAGCACCATACTGTCATCTGGTTCCCCGCCCATCTCGGCCAGGTGCCGGGTGCCCTATCCAACCTCAACGAGATCGCCCATGATGCAGCGCGCGCACTTACCGACCGCTCCGCCACAAGGCAACCCCATCTTGTTGGGTTAGATACCAATCGGGATGCACCAATTACGTACAATGAAATAACAAAGCACTTTTACCTGGAACGCCGCATTTTCCCACCCCCACATCCAAAACTTAACCGACCGCAGGCATTAACCCTACGCCTATTACAGACACACACGTATACACCCAAACCTTGCCACGCTTCACGTTTATTATCCTCATGAATACCCCAGCGACACATGCCCATCATGTGGACACACAGCGACACTCGCACACATGCTCTGGGAGTGTAGAACAACTCCTCCCGACTCTACCTCAAGCGAGTGGGAGAGGTCCCTGAGGAGCTCACTTCTCGCCGGCCAGCAATGGGCCGTCCAGCAGGCGCACGAACAGGCCGCCAGGTACTCCCTGTCGGTCCCTACGTGGGATGGCGCCCACTACGCGCTAAGCGCGTCCTGCTGGACTAAAATAAACTTTTTTTCATTCCATTTCATTGGAAAACATCGAAAGAAACAAGAAAATTAACGATCGACTCCAATTTTAACTGTCTGGCCAACTAAAACGTGGCGCAGTGATGAGAGTGCTATATCCTTGCGGGACTATAGCGTAGCGTACCGACCACGATGGTACGGCACTCTCTGAACTCTCTTCCTTGCCATACGGTAAAAAACCTGCTCTCCTAAAAGACCCGATAGACAAAATGACGACAGCGACTGTTTGCTGGTGCGAGGCGGCGCGCGTGGCGGAATCAGGAAGAGGCGAAGGAGAGCGATGTAAAGGGTGCAAGGAGAAATGATCCATTGTTCCATTTCGCGCGTCCCGGAAACCGGACTGCGCAGTATCTGTGCTGCGGACGCATGCGCCAAGAATG